CCCGTATCAATCGGGTACCGTGCCATCGTCCCGACTACTTCCACTATCGGTTTGATTGGCGTTCATCCAGCGTTCCAAGTACGCATCCGCTGACCCAAGAAAAAATGAACTGAACACGTTGAGTTGGTACGTAGTTTGTAGCGAACATCCCCGAGCATCGTCACCACCAGTGTCCCGGTTATCCGCAAAGGTAGCAGCATCCCCATAGTTAATCCTCCGACAGATGCACGCGAAGGTCGCTGATGTCTTGCGGGAGCAGTTCCGCCAACCGATTCAATCTATCCAACTGTTCCACGCATTCACAGGGTTCCTCCTCCAACGCAGCGAACTGCGCGCTGACCAGCTCACGTGTCACCTACGCAAGTCAACCTAAATGAAATCGACGGGTACTGTTTGCAATCGCGCGTGCGTTCCGATGTCGGCTGCGGAAGACCGGTAAGGAAATGATCCACTAGTAGTTTTTGTCTACATACTTGTGAGCTGTCACATACTAGAGCAATGTCGTCAGCAGACTCCAAGTCAAAAAGTCGTTCAAAAGGGAGCAGCTCAACACCCTCTAAATCGTGTCCAATGAACGCGGTTTCCATAACTTCGCCAATAGCGAAGTTGAAGAGGAAAGGTGACAGGGAGCATTGTTGTCTTACACCTCCGGAGACACCGAAGGGTGGTGATAGTTTGCCGTTTCACACTGCCCAAGCTACGCGCGTAAAGCCCCCGGATAACGTTCACATATTTCTCGGGCACACCTTTTCTTAGAAGACAGTCCCCAAAAATGCATCGATTCATCGAATCGAAGGCACTTTTAATGTCTAGGAACACGACTACAGTGAGCCGCCAATATATGTGACGGTGCTCCAACAATCCACGTAAAAAAGAATGTGATCGATACAGCCGCGACCGCGACGAAACTTGGCATTCACGGATGCCAGTGAATCTGTAAGCAATGACAGAAGTAAATAACTTGGAGGCGATAGAGATCAGACGAATTCCCCTAGGGTTGCTACATTCTGAACACGAGCTTCCCTTAGAGACCGGGAGAATAACGGAGCGGCTCCAGTCGGTTGGGACAGTTTCCTGCTCTCACAGTTCCATGAATAATTCTTGTAAATCATCCACAAGAGCAAGTCCCCCGAATTTGAAGAGGCCTGGAGCAAGAGCATCTAGTCCCGCGGGGTTCTTCATTTTCAGCAGTCCGATCTCAAGTTCGACTCCTGAGCGAGAGGGCGAATCCAAAGGGATAGCCCATGGAAAAGCGCGATCACTGACCGGCGAGAAATGCGATAATTCCGGCCGATTGAATTGCCTTCAAAGTGCTTGGCTCAAGCACTAGGACCAGGTATCCTGTAGCCCGTTACCGATATCGGACGGAATAACTTTTGATGGTTACCAAGAGCGGCTGCCACTTCCATCTCCGACGCACGATGAGACCACCAGGATTCGCGGTCTCTCATCTCGAGTACAAAGTTGAAGAAGAAAGGATATACAGAACAACTGTGGCGAACGTCACTTGTCGTGGAGAAGTCAAAAGACAACCTCCAGTAGACCTTTACACGGCCGTGTTTCCCTGGAACATCCTTCACGTATATGCAGTGACACAAGTTGGCTGGAACAACAGAGTCGCAGGTGGCTTTCAGGTTGAGGACAACCACCACAAACGATCGCCTCTGATCTAATCGTTGACGAAGAGTAAACATGTGATCGATGCATCTAGTCTGAAGGCAAACATTCAGTATCCAAAATCGTGTTGAGCAGAGTAGCAAGTGCAGTTAACAAGGAGTCCCAAACTTCCAGAAAAGATGGAAGGTCGTCGGGTCCAGGAGCCTTGTTTCAATTCAACACAAAAAGCTCATGTCGAATCTCTTCTGAAGTGGGAGGTGTAACATTGACTTCCTAAGTGAACTAAGGTGATTCAGCAAGCGATAGTGTTGCAGTAGGCCTGCTAAACTGTTTTTCAAAATGTTCAGTCCAACGAACTAGTCGACGCGGATGAGAATTGATCAATTCTCCATCTTTCTCAGCTATCGTCTCACTGAGGGTTCCGGATGAGCCAGAACAGTATTCGACTGTTCCCGATAGCACTGCTTTCTCTGTTTCATAGGCTCTTGCCACTCACCTGCGTTCGTGATTGATGCTAAGACCTTGTCAGTCGTCGTTTCAGAGTGGGACGGACAACGTAAAACTCAGCACCTAACGAAACCTGTTTCCGTGCTTTGATCAGATTGATGGATCCTCAGAGGTCCACTTGTAGTTGGGCGTACAGTATGCGTCGAGGCATTCCTAACAGCACAGTTGAGAAGATTCCAGGCAGCGCTCGGTTCAGCAATCTCAGTTATCAGACAGTTGGTTGATCAGCTTGGCATGAGATTGTTAAATTGTGAACTGTGAGTTCAGGTTACGAGTGAGAAGCGCTTCGTTGAAGCGGGAAGAGTGAGTGCGCGCACTAGAGCATGGTCGGAATCTATGTATGTGCTCCAAATTGACCGACAGTTTTAAACCGATGGGCGCCATCTGCAACGGATGACGATATTGTCAATTTGGGTCCAAGTTAACAAAGAATTCGGTAAGCGGCAGGTGACACGAAGTTATGGTTTGTGCTAGAAAACAGTGTTGCTGCTTGTTACTTTGACGCATCCACGAAGTGGTCAAGCTCATTCACTCGATGACGTCATCCTAAGCGAGTGTGTCTTGTGTGAATGATGCGTGTACTGCGTGAAGCGGAAGCGTGGAAAAGGTCACAAGTTAGTGCACAAAAATTGTGTAAATCCATGCACGGTTACTCTGTCGTGAATCGGCGCAAACTTATATTCGTTCTTCCCGTGACGGAGCTGTACGCTATCGGACGCGTCCCCAGGTTGCGAATCGGAGAATGTCTTTTTTGTGGAAGTAACTGCGAATAAGTTTCGTTTGCTCAGCAGGCGAGATGAATAAGCAGTCGCGGACAATCAGCGGCAGCGTCTCAGAGCGTGGGGAATCTGGGCTGGTCATTTGGTTCTCCAGAAAATACCCACAAGAGCTCGTACGACGCGGTGTCAAAGCCAATGTGATCGGCGATAGGGTCACTGACCACTCACTTCTGTAACCAGAAGTGAATACCTAACGGAGAGCGGATGAACAACCTTACTGGCTACCGGCTTCTCTGTGGACTGCTATCGAACACAAAGAAGGCGAATGAGCCACCCGGATGTCAACAGACTTCGTTAACCGCCCCGCTGCCACGCGGGTTAGGTCATAAGACCAAAGGCCCGGAGTGGGATCCCTTAAGTCAACCCCCTTCCTCGGCCAGGGCAACTGGGAAGATCTCTGCCCATACAACCCATTAAAGTTCTAAACTTTCCAAATTGTTTCACTGACTCCCCGATTTTCCCCTTCTTGTTATTGTGCTCTATGTAGTGTGGCACTACCAGTTGTACATTGGTCAAGTGTTGAATATAATAATAATATATTCGTTCTTAATGCACCTGCGGGAAGATAGACTCAAAGGAGACCAACCATGGCGATGTCGACTCCACTGCTTCAGTCAGTGCAGTATTGGGCCACCTGAAAGAACGGGTGAGCAGTGCCCCAAAGAAATGGCCAAACGCACAAACTGTAAACGGTCGGACAGTTCGACCATTGGTGCACTAGTGTTGGAAAAATATGCGTAGTTGTTGCACACGAGAAGGACCCTGGCTACTCTTAGTAGTTGTCGACAGCAACCTCGGGAGTTCTGCAGCATCAATAATGCATGGTAATCGGAGAAGATTGAGCAGATGGAACGCAATGCTAAAAGTCGTCAGCAAAAGGAATTCTATAAATCCTTGAAGGTGGTGTAAGGACCTACTTTGCAGCCGATGAAAACTCTGGTGGACGCTACTTGGAGTGCTGAGTGTATACAGGCTGCAGACCTTTTGCAGATATGAAGCGGACACTTTGCCTCGTGAACAACTATTCGGGGATACGTAGCAAGGGCTGCAATAACAAGATGAGAAAGACAGTCGTGCCAACATCCAGAGACTGCATGAAGCGCAAATGGCACTTGCGCAGATGTGAAGTGGTGAGTACCAAGAGGGCCATGATATACCAGATGTGCAGATAAACAGCGGACCAGTAATGCTACCTGCACTGCACGACTTGGGGGAATGCGTTTGGTCTGTAGAACAGGTATCCGCTGAGCTGAAAGATGTTATTCTGCTACAACGGTACAAAAGCTAAGAAACCAAGAAGTGTGCCAACAACTACCGCGGCAGCAACTTGCTACGTTGCGCTGGTAGGTGGTTGTTCGGATCATGCTCAAGCGCTTCGAGGCTAGTGTTTTGGAACCGAACGTAGGCGAGAAGCAGTGATTCAGGTCGGCCACATGTAGTGTTAGAAGATTCCTAGAGATTTAGTGTTTTTCAACTGTAGTAAGTTAGGCGCTCACGACCACGGCCAACCAAGGGTGAGGGTTGGGATTATGTGGTTTGAGGCAGGCGGTATTATTATAGTATTACAACCGGTTGCCTAGTTCCAACTTTGCCGGAGTTTCCAAGAAGGATGCAGGGATTTAATCGGTACCACACGATCAATAACGTCTGGTATGACTCTTGTCCAGCGTGGCTCCGCGAATAATGAAGTTACGCGAGCCCCCGTCCTACGTATAGTCTCAGGCTGGTTGCACCGGATATTTAAAAAATAACCACCGATGTCTGCAAAGGACCGTTATCGTTCTGCAAACACACTGAATGACTACTAAAAGTCGTTACTTAGCGCTTGGCTTGTACGTCCGTTGGATGTGAACCACTACGGTTGTAAATGTCATGTGATCTACACAATCGCATGCGCACTGGTTTGTGGATTTACTAGCAATAACTCGACTGATTGGATGGAATTCTGCCGTGGGCAGCCGATGACATTGGTGAATGCGAACGCCCAACGAATGGATGAAGGGCCCAGGATCGCCACAGAAGCGGTAAGACACGGGCTGGATGTTGTAAAATGGCGTTCTAACACTTGCTTCCTCATGCTAAATCAACTAGGACAATGCTGCCTTTTGACTATCCCACTTGAATAACAATTATAATCATATGGTTAATGCAAATGTAGACCTAAGCCAAGGAAGTTGGGTCCAGTACACTTTGACAAGCGATCCGAATTGAATCGAATCGACTAAAATAATTCAAACGAGCCGATGCGGAAGGGAACATAAATAGCAGCTTCTTCTGGAGCAATCAGCCCTAAAAAATGAGTTTGTGGTAACAATGTGCCGAACACAAACGAGTAAAGAAATAAAACAGGAGCGAACCAAAATCTGGTCGGAGACAGTTCAACACTTGAGTCGCTGATAAAATATTAGAGTAGATCAATCAGATAGATGCAAGTGGTACGTTCTTGCAAACCATCAAGGTCGAAGAGCTTAGTAAATGTTACAGATGATAAGGACGAAAATGACGTCGAAATCAAGTCCGGGAACAGACTGGTGAAGACGAAGCGATGTTGCTAATAAAGAAAGCACGTGCGCGATGTTTCAGAGAAGGGAACCATTATTGGAGAACTAGGCGAGAGACAGAGGAAAACACGAGTAACAAGCTAAATGCGCTGAAACAATCACTGACCGGAAGCTTACAGCCTCGGATGAATAGGGCGACGATGTAGCAGATGGAAGGAATTGATTACAGAAGAGATGGCAGCAGGATGGAAGACTGAGGCTAAAGAGTGTGTCCGAAAGAAAATAACAGAAACTCGCTCAAATTAGGAAGTAAATTTGCCTCTAGATGTGTCTAGAAATGACTCACGTAGCCCCAAATCGAGAGAAGAGAGGAAAAGGACTTGTTGCATAAGCGAGAAAATTATAAATCGAAATAGCATACTCATGAGAGAAAAGGTCTGTGGTACAATTGTGGGAAGGCAGTGGAGTTGAAAATAACGAAGAAAATTGGAGAAACTAGAAAGCGCAATAAGCTGAAAAAGTGTTAATCGTGCAATAATGACATCACAACTTTAGCGGATGTTTTGGTTATGTACAAGGGATAGGCTCATCAGCTTACTAATGGATAACTGAAGCACACTGATAGAAATGATAAAACAGAGGGGATGAAGTCAAAATGAACAACCGTGTGGCTTCGTAGGTGACCATGTGTGATACACGAAGAATCGCGTTTTCGACAAGCACGAGTGGATGAGAAACTGCCCAGCAAAAGAGGCTAGACTATCTCTGATGTTTGACCCGCATACATTCATGGTGCATAACGCGTGAAAATCATAAACATTTCACAGGAGACGGATACAGTACACCGTAATGTGATACTAGAAGATAAGATAATCAGCTTTGATTCCATGTACGCAAACAGTTGGACGTAAGTTGCCGAAATGGAGAGCAAATAAACTGGTTCGAAGGCACAAACACGCGCGTAGGTGAGATGCCAAATTCGTGCAGTACTTCTCACCGTCACGATGCAAACTTCGTTTTGGGTCACAGTGTAAGCATGCAGAGATGCGCGGATGAGCATAGTAAAAAAAGCGGGCAGTCATAAAAGGGCGCACTTCCATAGGGAACGTTTGTGCCGACCGCTGTTTATGTTTTTCAAGTCCTGTTTCGGTGGACCGGCAGTTCCCTAACGGAAAAAATAACAAAAGTGGAAGAATGAGCAAGACAGAGGACGAACTGAGAACATAGCAAAAGAATTCACAATGTATCAAAAGCATTAGTGAACGAGCAGCAGACCGTAGTAGGTGGGATGCTGCCGGGCTAGCTAACACAGGACTGACTCAGTTGCTTACAGGCAAACCAAAACGAAAGTAGAAAACGGGTGGTTCGAACACAATGGTAACATTCGAAAGGGCGGTGGTCACATTTGTATCAACAAACTAGGCATCAGACTTAAACCGGCAATGGAACACAAAGCTGTGACAGAGTAGATAGATTTCGATAGAGACGAAACGCACGGGACACATTTTCGCTCCGCGCAACTGTTTCAGCGGGGCCAGATGTGTCGCAAACTAAAGTTATCTTTTTCAGCTGTTTCAAGTGCCTGATCGACTCAAGTGAACACTTCGTTCACAGAAGGAAACGACGCAAGAAATAAAACTATTTTATGTGCTCCGTGCATGCCGAAGTCATCGCACGACTCTCGGGTAGCAAATAACGTTCAAAAAGGGTGCCATGTTGCAACAATTCCAACCGATTACACCGTGGACTCCCATTTTGCTGTATCGTGGATAAGTACTGTTCTGTATCGAGGAGCGATAAAGTGGAGTACACGGGCAACAGACATCACGGTTGAAAATAACGGAGTGTTACACTCGAACCAGGACAAAACTCCGGAGTGGTATCAGCCTTTGTCATACTGTACTGTAACTAAAACACTCAGTAGCAGCTGTAATCACAGCTCAGATATGTATATATATAGAAGCAAAAATCGCTCATAAGATTCTGTCATAAATTGAATGACAGAATGAAGAAAGGTCTTCACGATCATCAGGATTGAGTGATACAATTCGAATGATCAACTACGATTTGTGCAATGAAGGAAGGTGGACCAGGTGGTATTTATGCAAAACAAAAATATTAGAAATAGGTAAATAGAGGAAGAGAAAGACCAAACGCAGACAAATACACACAAAACAAATAAAGTTGGAAATCCGAAACAAGAAATAGAGTGAAGGAACAACATCAAATTGATGAAACGGCCAAATTTGAAAGCGCTTCGATGCACAAGACCCTGGTTAGTGAAAAGTGCCAACATTTGTGCTTACTGCCTTGCCATAAATTTTGCTATGACTGTGACTTCATTTAAAGTGGCGCAGTGCAGACGGTTGCGTACCCCAGAACGGGCATACTCAAGTACACACAAGTAGTTCCAATGAAAAACATGACCTAGTGTTGTGCGCGTTCAACGGCCAATATACGTCAACGGGTCACTATTTCGGTGACCCAATCCGGTGGGCAGTCGTCGGCAAGTTAAGTACAAAAAACCTCTTAATCTCTTCCATACACACAGTGACTACGTAGCTGATTAACACAATTACACAAGTAGAGTCTCAGCGCCCCACACCGTCATCCAACGATGGACGAGTGATTTTGTACGCATTCATAGATAACTGGTGCTTTGAAAGAGTACCTAAGTCGTATTGATAGGCCTGGTAACATCAGCGGTGTGTTGACCAATCGCTATGACACCGCACAGGTCGCCTACTGGAATTCACTCAGGGATTTTCACAAACTGACATATCGAACAAACGATGTAACGCCACTATGCCCTTTAACGGGGCAAAGTACACGCCAAAACATGCGCCGATTTGTAGATTCTGTCTACCTATTTGTTTTTTTATACAACTAAAAGCCTCCAATTCCCTGTAACTTTAATGGATTTAGCTACGCTGATTTTGTTGTTATAGACAACATTGTTCCCAATGCCCAGTTATCTTCGGCTCTCCAAAGTGGGTTGGATGAGCCCAAGTGGATGTTGTCGTCGGAATATCTTATTCTCAACATGGGAGCCATGGGCTATAGAAGAGTGAACCCGCAAGGCAATAGGTCGATTGACGTATACCGCGAGCCGTTGGGAGCCGGCTTTCTAAGTGAGAATAACATGGCTTTCGAGTGGAAATCAACTACTCAGGGCGCCCCAAAGAGCCCGAGTGAAGTAGCAAGGATACTAGGATTCTATGGACAACAGTACTCGTCGCCAAATACGAAGGCTGTTGACAGCCAGGTGGCTCATACGCCTTCATAGAAGCCGGCGGCCATCGAGGTTGTTCATCCGCAGGTTGATTGCAGTCAACCTGCCGAGCTCAGCGAACACTCAGACCACCAACTGAACAACCTGAGCTACCAACATTTGTTTCCATATCACATAGTTTTTGGTCAACAACTGTAGTTGTAATTACTAGACGTCTTGAACGGGATATTGCGACGGTGTCGGATTTTAGTGATAATGAGGCTTGTGACGCCGTGTGCTTACCGAGTTCTTCAAAAGGAACGGTTGCATATTTCTCTGGAAAGCATCTGATACTGTAGCGGGGCTTCCGCTTGGATGTTTATGGTGGAGGACACCAAGAGAAGATCCATTAAGGCTGTAATCTTATGGACGAGATTACAGAAACAACGGATAAAGGGAATACAGACGAAGTTGTCCAATCGAACGGACAACCGAAGATAATACCCATGGAAAAGTAAATCACAGGGTAGCAAATAGATATCTTTTTGGTGGCTCACATCAGGCAACTACAGCTACATAACTGATAAATGCAACAGTAAACTGGTGAAGGCAAAAATGAGAACGGATGGGACGGTTTGAACAGCTTTAGCATGTTCTTTTGATGGTCAAATAGACGGAATCACGTGACATCGTGATAGGGATAACAGACAGCAAAACAATTTGTGTAAACAGAAGAGGTACAAATACTAAAAATATAAAACACTAGATAACTACATAAATAAATAGCACCCGGTTACGCGTAATACTCCGGGGGAAGACTTCTCATCAGGGTCATGGTAAAGTCAAGGGTTGCACAAGCACCATATGCTTGCATAGCTCTGATTGCGTTAGCCGGGTCGTAATGGCTTCAGCAGTCTGCAAGAGACGTTTCTTAAACCCTAACGGGTATCGCCCACCCGCATGTACTTGCGGAGACCACACCCTTTATAGCTTAGGGTCTTAAAGACAGACTTCCAGTGTCGTTCGAATCGTACATTGTTTACTAATTTACTTGCATCTATGGTGCCAAGTATCTCGGGCATACAACCAGACGTCTGACGGTAAGGATAGCTCAGCACTGTCTAGGGTCAGTGCGGAGGCACGCTCAGAAGTATCAACGGTTCGATCTTGTAACAACTGCTTCAAAGTGGGCATCAGCTTTTGACCAAAGACGCCTTCAAGGTCTATTAGGCCGTACCGAGGCGATACCCGAAAAGGTTAAGGAAACGCCACTTGCAGACGGCTGAAGCCATCGCAATCAGGTTAACACAGCCAGAGCCATGCAACCATATGTTGCTTGTGCAACCCTTGACTTTGCCATGGCCCTGGCGAGAAGTCTTCCCCGGAGTATTACGCATAACCGGGTGCCATTTATTTATGTAGTTATCTAGTGTTTTATATTTTTAGTATTTGTACCTCTTCTGTTTACACAAGTTGTTTTGCTGTCTGTTATCCCTATCACGATGTCAGCTGATTCAATCGATTTGCCTTCACCAGTTTACTGTTGCATTTATCAGTCATGTAGCTGAATTTGCCTGACGTGAACTACCGCATTGTATTTGAACGCAAAACTTCGCTATAGCCGTTAGTTCAAGTTTCTACTTAATTAGTCAAATGGTAGGATGGATAGAAAAGTGATGAAGTACTTCAGAACAAGGACCGCATTTTACTCTGGCCTCTCCGAAGTTCGTTCCTTAGGCCATCGTAGTTGACAAAATACCATGGACATTGCTCATCCCATTATTGGATTCTCTGTGCTGTGATTCATGGGAGTGATTCAACTCATCTGCTAACGGATACGGTCAGAAGTCACACTTCTCACAATGTTTTGACATACATTCTCACCAAATGCAACTCGGCACTAAGGGGATAGAGAGCCCAACCAACATACCAATGATCCCGGATTCGAGGTCGAAAAGTGTAATAAAGTGCAGTGTTTTCGGGCTGGCAACACCTAGTTCCCATACGCTTCAGCTACGGACCTAGTGATCGAATTGGCCACGGTTCGCTTCAATGCGATTCACGGTCCATATTGAGGTTGCGCATCGCAATCCAATCACCCAACGGATATTTAAATGACCCTCCAACAAGAACATCCTTTTTGACAACTCTACTGTTCTACTGAAGGGACAGAAAACGGGAACATACGATTGTCGCCAGTTGCATGAATGCAAAAGTCCTCGCAGTATGGAAAAACAAAAACACACATCATTTCAACGTGGATGCTGATCTCTTCGACGGTGGTGATGGGTTTCTCCGAGCATGCATGAGTCACAATCTTCATAGATATCGTAACCTCTCAAACGAGCATTCACTTCACGTCACATAGTGTTCCGGAAAAATGATGCTACCGGAACAAACATGAATATACTGCGATTATCAACAGATGTCGGTATATTCTGATCGTGATTTAGTAGGCCAGTATGGCGCGTACTCCTCTCGCATTCGCATTCAAGTACCTGAGTCGTCGTTTGTCAATAATCAATGCAGCGAAGGAATCGAGAGCTGGTTAGAATCATCCATCGCGAGTCAATAAGAAGACACCATAAATCGTTTGTTAGGCCAAAGTGCGATATCCGGATGGTGAATGAATTGCCGAAGGATCAAGTAGTTAGACTGATGCGACGAAGTATGTTCCGTATAGTTTAACTGCGTTACCAGGAACTCACTGAAGAGGAAGCATCATCATTATCACCACATATCAGATGAAGGTAAGAAACAGGCTTCAGCCATAGAGATGCATTAAAAATAGATAGGATTTATAAAAAACGAGTTACAAAACATTACCGAATTCAAAAAACAACTGTTTAGTAACACATTACGAATCAAGACTGAGATCGCTTTTGAAGGGCAAGCGCAAGAGCGACTAAGAAACACACAGCACATATACCGATGAGGTCGGCACCTCGTCATAT